TGTTGCTTAAGGGTACTGCTTCCGGCCATCGGGTAGCAAAATCCATGAAAGTCAGTATGTACTGGTTTCCTCTGGGTGTTTTCTTTGGGAAAGGACCCAGACTATCCACAGCTACTGTCTGAAATGGGACTTCAATTATGGGTAGTGGCTGGAGAGGGGCTTTAACCTGGTCTTGGGGCTTTCCCACTCGTTGGCACACCTCACAAGACCGGACATAATTAGCAACGTCCTTGCCCATTCCCTCCCAGTGGAAGGACTTCCCCAACCGGTCTTTGGTTCTGTCCACCCCAGAATGGCCACTGGGATGATCATGGGCTACGCTCAAGAGCTTTACCCGATACTTAGTGGGAACTACCAACTGTCTTTGAGGATGCCAGTCTTCCTGGTGCCCACCAGAAAGAGTCTCCTTGTATAAAAGTCCTTGTTCTATAACAAACCGGGATCGGTTAGAAGAGCTGAGAGACGGTGGGGTCCCAGTAGAATCCACTCACCTCCGAATCTCTTCAGCACCTCCCTCATGTCAAGGGAAATTTTATACAGTCTTCAGGTCAGTAGAAACAGCTTCTGGTTCCTGGAGTTTCACATTCTCACTCCTATGAAGAAAACGTCCCATCATCACTCAGCTGCTCTGTACACACATCATCCCAGAACCACCACCCAGAATATAAGAGCAATGAAAATGGGAAACACACCTGCTCAATGTGCTTTTCACATCCTGAAAGGAAAAAGAGAACCAATGTTCTGTACTAACACGATATGCATAAAACTGAGTGAGTCTCACTCTGGGCATCACACTTTCATCTAGAAAATAGATCAACCCTCCCAGGCTCCACTGTTTTGTGGTAAAATCTCATACACCATTTTGCATTAACACTTGTTTCATTTATGTAGGTGAGAAAGGAATTTAGCTAAAGGGTTCTCCCTTCTAGGGACCCAACCCATCAGTATCTGTATTTATCGCTTGTGTTGTGTCCAGTGTTCTGAGCTAAACCCCATCCCTGTTCTGACTCCAGTATCATTTTTGTATCATCCATTTAATCTCCCACGGCCTCACTGGGTCTCCAGGAGGAGAATTCCCCTCTAACATGAACTGCGATATTTTGGAACTGATGGAGCACTTAGCCGGATGTTCTGTTTGTCAGTAAACCACAGAACACATTTACTCTAATTGTTGGGATCCAGACCCAGGGATCTGAGTTATAATTCTGGATGGGTGGAGAATTTTGATGCCATCTCACCTTTAGCAGCTCGAAAACTGGTTGCTGACACTTCTCTATCTCTGTGATCAGCTGCTGCAGAGAGGAGCTTTGCTGGGAGAGTTTGGTGACATTTTCTTGTAGTCTCTGCAGAGTCTTCCTCTCCTCCTCCTCCTCCTCCAGGCTCTGCAGAAGCAGCTGCTCCTCCTCTCTCAGCAGTGTGTGCAGTTTCTTAAATTCACCTGCAATCATCTCGCTCTTATTCTTCACTTTGCTCTGGAGATAGAAAAATAGGAAAGACGCAGAGAAAAGTGAGCCAGATGCTGTGTTACACAGGCTAGGCCTCTGTCCATGAAGCAGGGGATATGAGACCAGTATCAGATTTGTAAGGATATTGACTTTTTTGGGGAAATGTACCATAAAGGGTTTGTTTTAGTTCAGAATTAATAAGGCCAGTTCCATAGCGAGGTGCTTTGTAAAGCTGAAGTATATTATTGCAGGTGGCATGGGATGGACACAGTGGAGTGGGCAGAAATCAAGGGAACAGGAGAGATTTACACGAGGCTTCCCAGGGCATCCGTGGGGAGATTTGGGTGCCAAGTGTTGGGCCCTCAGACACCAAGGGGAGCCGTCGCAGCGGGTTGTGGGTGATGCTCCTTCTCTGACAACCTGCTCCCAGGGCTGCAAAGTTCAGGACATTGGGTGCCATCCTGAGGCTCACATGGGTGTTGCGCACCCAGGGCATTTTCAGGGCTGGCTTTGGCCTCACCCAGCCTGGCAGAGTGCCCCATGCCCATGTGACCAGTGCCCCTGGGATTGCAGCCTTTAGGGACCCCTCTAGGCTCACAGAGCAGCGGGTTGGCTGATGCCAGCTGTGTCCCCACCTGCCCTCTGAAAGGAGCCGTGGGAACGATGTTGAGCTGGTGCTGATCCTGGCTGGGGGAGGGGCTGGCTGCTCTGCACTAGCCTCTCTAGCTCCCCTGCAGCTCAGCACAGAGGTGCTGGGTGACCCTGGGGGAAGCCTGTCCCCCAGTGAGACTCGGCCCACAGTGATGTTGGGGAAAGTCCCTCTTACTCTCCCTGAGATGCCAACATGGCCAGGGGCTTCAGCAGCTTCCCCCACCCTTGTCCCCTGCCCCAGAGCCCTCCTCCCTGAAACCCCAGTACGTGAGCCCCAGCCCTTCCCCACACCAGTCTGTGCATTGTGCTGACCCGCTCCCCCCCCCCATCTTCCCTGTGCAGGGCTCTAACCTGTCTGTCTGTCCAGCTCCCTGTGTGGTGGGGGAGGGGCTGTGCTCAGTGTCTGTCTGAAGAGGCAGCTGCTTGAGGCCCTGCTCCCGCCCATGGGGATACCCCCCACCTGGCTCATGCCCATGACAGCCCCTCCGAGTGGGTGACTGGCAGCCCCTGCTGGGCCTCATCTCACAGTCGCTGGGGCTGCAGTTACTCTGCCAAGTGACACTGATCATTGGGCCGTGACCTTTGGTGATATAGGACGTAACTCGCTCTCACGGGGCAATAATCAATGGTTTCAGAACCACCCCAGTGACTGTCCCAAGGGGCAGCCGTCTCCAGGGCGCCGGCTGGTCACTTTGCTGGACACATTCAAACCTGGGTGTTAATTGTTATCCACCTAAATCCCTATTGTCTGAGGAACTGAGCTCCAACTGCTTCAGGTGCAACAGTGGGAGCTGCTGCGGTTCTGTCCTCTGGAAACCAGCCCACTTCCGCCGGGCTCTAAATATGGCTTCAGATGCAGAACCAGAGGCACCCAGCTCTGAGCATTTCTGCTCTTGTAAATGGCCATTTTTATCTGAATAGTGGGACACCTACTTCTCCTCTCATCCCTGCTGCTGGCGTCTTCCTCACACCCCCATGCTCCAGGCAGGGATTTCACTGTAAAAGGCAGGTAAACCAGAACGGACATTTTGTCCCATGTGTATTCATCACCTGGCTACAGACAAGCACAGGTACAATGACAGTAACAGTAGCAGGTGACTGGCATGAAAAGGCCATGTGATGACAACAGAGGCTGCAAAGTGGCCGAGCACTGCCTGGCTTGACACTGACCTGCCCCTGGCTCTGCTCACTCAGGGGGTGTCCACACTGCAATGAAGATGTGACAGCAACATGTGTAGACAAACCCAGGCTACCTTTGATCTAGCTAGCTCGGACACTGGTAGGCATGAAGCCGCAGCAGCATGGGCTGTACACGGCCACCCAGACCCCTGGGTATTATTCAGTAACTAGCCTGCAGTTAGCTGTCTGTGCCATGTAGATGCAGATTGGGCAGATTTTCCACAGAGCTCCACATCCACAACTGGGTTTGATGTTCAGAAGAGCTCAGCTCCCAACATGGCCCCAACCCAGCCAGCTGAGTGAATCTGAACCTCACCCATGGGGGCAAATCATCCTCCCAGCTCCAGTATCTGTGGGTGCAGAGCGAGGAGGAACAATCTGTTTCCTCCAGGCTGCAGAGAAGCTGCAGAGCTTTGTCGTGGAGGCCACTGAAAACTGATGACTGGAGCAGCCGACACACCATCCCCATGTGCAGGAGGGAAACAGGAGCCATGTAATAGTGAAAACACTGCACCCAATATTGAGAATTTGCCCCTCTCAGAGATCTCAGGGGTGGGTCTGCACCACTGTACAAGGGCCAGGAACTGCCCCTCCTCCTCTGCCTGCAGAAGCTGCTGCACTGAGATCCCCACCAGAGAGACAGCCTGATGCTGCCAGCACCCTGGATGGGAGGTACCATAGGCCAGGGGAAGCTCAGCCTCCCCAAACAGGATGCAACGCCCCTCCCTTTGGGGGCAGGCTGCAGACCTGCCGCCTTTAGGGTGTTGCCTGTGCTCCACCCGGAGCCTTCACTCCTGCTATTTCCCCAAAGCCCACAGCACCCGCCGCTTGCTGCCTGTCAGCGGTGTGGGGGGCCCTGTCACTTGCTCCTCTCTGCCCCCGTCACTCACCCTGAAGGCAGGAGGGGGCAGAAAGGAGCAAGCGGCAGGCGAGAAGGCCTGTGGGGAAGAAGGGGTGGGGGATAGGTGCCAACTTCTGCTCACACCAGTGTGTGCTTGACTCCTCTCTACCCCTTGGCCCCACCCTGACTCCACCCTGCCCTGACCCAACTCCACCCCCTCCTTGTCCCTATTCCAACTCCTTCCTCAAATAACCACCCCTGCCTCTTTCCTGCCTCCTCCCCTGAGCATGCTGTGTTCCCGCTCCTCCCCCCTCCGTCCCTCCCAGAGTTTGCTACGCCGCCAAACAGCTGTTTGGCAGCGGCAAGTGCTGAGAAGTAGGCAGAGGAGCAGGGACGTGGCACGCTCAGAGGAGGAAGCAGGGAGGGGAGTTTGGCTGCTGGTAGGTGCAGAGCACCCACTAAATTTTCCTCATGGGTGCTCTGGGGCTGGAGTTGGTGCCTACGGTGTTGGAGTCTATGAGGTGCGGGAGAGGAGCAAGCTGCAACAGTGAACAGTGAGCAGGGAGCCTCTGGGGAGGGAGCTGAGTGGGAGCGGGGCATGGGGCCCAGGGCTCCCTGGAGTTTCACCTGCAGGGGCATCGTGTGCGATAAACAGCCATTAGTCTGCCTGTCCGATGGGTGGACAGTACTGTCCATATTGGTATTTCATACATGAGCAGTAAATATCCTGGAAGTGAGCAGCAGACTCAGCTGTGGCAGCCCCGAAGGCCTCATGGGAGCAGAGAGGCCAGTCTCAGAGCAGGGGATCTGCTTCGTGCAGACATTCAGGACTTCTCAAGGCCTGTGTTTTAGCTAAAGCTTCCCATCACTGAGCACAGGCCAGAGGGGAAAGAGCTGGGAAGGTTCTGAACGATCCCTCCAGCCGGTGAGAGGGAAGAGGTTTGGACAGCACCTCGCTGCACAGTACCCCAGACCCAGGCCAGGAACAAGACCCCACTGTGCTCTCGTCTGTCCAGGCTTCCATGTGGCCTCCCTCAGGCAGCAGCTGAGCACCTGAGCCAGCGCAGTCCCATTAACTGTACAGGGTGAAGCTGTGATGTGGCTGGAGGTAAGTGAGGAACAGGGAACACACTCGGTCTGGGGGAATGTGCCACCCATAATTATAACTGCTCCAGAGCTGTAATACCCCAGGGCTCTCTTCCCCTTTGACAGCGTGTGATTCATTTATACAGCACAGCAACGTGCTCCTGCCCCGTCAGCCCCGCTCTGTGCAACACCCATGGCAGCCCCCCAGAGCCCCCTCCAGAAATTTCCCCATTTCACTCTCTCTTCTCTGAGTCTTCAAGTTCTGTCCTCCTCTCTGCCCAAGGGCCCAGGCTGCTGCTGCTGCTGAGAGCTCCTGGGGAGCTGTTCGGTGACACCCCTGTGGTGCTGCTGCAGGGAAGCAGTGAGGGAGGAGCTAGCAGGGGCTAGTGAGAGACAGGAGGTGGAAAAGCAGCCTTTGCGTCCAGCAAAACAGCTTTGTAAATGAGCAGGGATCGGGGTGGTGGGGGGGGAGGTGGCTGGATTCTTTGAAGCTCCACCCATAAAATAAGTTCAGCCCATGTGAGTAACCAAAAGGAGACACCATGATCTGTTCACAGTGGATGGTGCATTGTTCAAAACAGGATGGAGTTGCCGATTGGCTCTAAGGGGCTTCTGGGGCCGGACTCCCCTCATGGAGCTAGAATGTACCCCTGGGCTCCACTGGGGAGAAATTAGAGGTTGCATCTCCCAAACATCACCTGCTTGTGGCACTGGAAGGAGCCATCCCTGGCAATAAATGGTGCTGAGCTGTAATTCTCCCTCTCTGCTCTCACATGGGTGAGCATGCTCACTACAAGCCTTCCCCAGGGGGGAAGGCACATGGGTTCATTTGTCCCCCTCCACCCCACACAATGTCTCTGCTGCTGTGCAATGTGGAAGGGTTGTTATCCCCATTTAGAAGAGGGGAAAGTTTAGAAGAGGCCCAGACAAAACAAATGATTTACTTGACTTCACACAGAGCAAAACCTGGATCTGTGCAGGCTAACTTAGCACCTTAACTACTGGACAAACCTTTCCCTCTGTAGCCTGAACCTGGGAGAAGAGAATGAGGAGATGGATGGCCACGCACAGACACAGAGTTTGTCTGATAATCATCTCACTGACCCTTCCCACAGGCACTAGGCCAGTCTGTGCAGAGTCAGGCGATAATGGTGATATCACCAGTCCCTGATGTGGTCTTTCAGGGGGCTCTCCTATCCCCTGATTAGCTTCCTTTGATTGGCCCTGGCATCTAATTAGGCCTAGAAGTCTGCTTCAGTGCCTTTGGACTGTGTCTCTAGAGGCAACCTAATACAAGAGTTTTACTTTTTTATACACATCCATACATACCCCCCCCAGCCTTTCTATCCCTTTTCCAACTCTGGGCTTTCTCCTTTTATAGCAGGCCTTGTTTCCCCTATGTGTTGCAGCTGTGGGTGCCTGTCTCCATGATTGGCAGCTGAAGCAGCTGTGTGGGGTGCAGGCAGAAGAGGCACCCCTACCCCTACAAAACTCTGCTCAGTATGGGTGGGGGTGTAGACCCCATTACAAGTGGACAGGAATGAAAGTGAATACGTTTTCAGGCCTGCTCTGAAATGCTCAGGCTGTGTCTGAATACCCAGTCACTTTCTGTGCTCTGCTGTTGGGCCCAGCTGCCCACAGCCCCATCTCCTCTGTGGAAACAGGGTTAAAGGATTTAAATATAGGCCTCTCAGTTGTAAGAAACAGAACAACTGTCATGCTAAATCTTAGCCTAATTG